CTGTCCCCTTTAGCTCGTTGCAATAATCTAACACACTCTAATAACTCTTCTCTTCTGCCTTCACTTTCCTCCTCCCTTTTGATGCCTGGAGCAGCACTGTGGACAGTTCGGCACAAGCCCCAGTCCCAGGCAGTCTGGTCACACAACATGGCACAGCACCATCGCTCACAGAACGCAATCGTGCCGGGGCCTTCACTACTGCATGCCATAACCTCTAAGTATCCAGTTCTACCCCAAGTACCCCAGCTCTGATATCCTGCCTGCAACAGTGGCTTGGAAGAGTTGTCAGAAATCCAGGAGACGAACGAGCGATGATTTATCCATTAGTGTCTGTTAATCAAACAAATGTCACCCCACCCAAGCCTCCTGACGTTGGTAGAGACTCTGAAGCAATGAAGGAACTTCACAGAAAGCATTTTCTCCACATCTCCGAGAATCAATAATCCACTTGTACAGTTCATTTGGATTCTATTTTTAAAACTGTTTTTACAGATTACCAGAGACAACAATTTCCCTTCCCAACATACACCTTACTTAGAGAAGTGCTTGCAGAACGTTGGAAAAAAGCATGATGAATATACAGCAAATAGCACCAACTAATCAAATTATATACTTAATTCCTTAGCATTCCGGAGAAGCAGTGGATTATATTTGACAGAGATGTACTGCAAGAAGAGCAATCTTGTGCTCAGAGCAGAGCAGGCCTTTCTGCAGTGCCTTGCTCTCACTGGGATGTGCTCTATGACAATGGCAGTACAGCCACAGATCTGTTTGTCGCAGCCGAGGAGCATCAGTGTCCTCCTGGCACAGGAAAGTATTTTAGAAAAACTTTCAAGAAGCTGATGTCACGTAAGGTACCCTAAATGACCCTATAGACACTTCATTAAAAAGCCAAACTCTACTGCATAGAAACAAGTAGGATTGATACTCTTGTACGACTGCATATCAAAGAGAATCCTCTCCAAGCAGGTACCAGAAAAAAAGACATTCAATAGCAAATTTTATGAGAGAAGGATAAAAACCAGGTAGTTCAACAGTTCCTGAAATCCCAGTGGTGGTCAATAAATCGACTTGTGCTTCACATTATATGAAGAGGCTGTACTTAGCAAATCACTGTGTAAGCTGCCTCAATAACAGCACTCCTGCTATCAAGTTTACTTGCAATGAGTCCAACAAAGAAATTAATTTCTTAGATGACAAGAAAAGGTTATCTAGAACGGGGAAAACACAGGAGACAAAGATTTCCACTAATAAAACAAATATCAGACTCTGAGCTGAATTTGAAGCTATCTTTTTTTTCCTCTGAAAGATTTGAAATCCCTGTAGCCCAAACACTAGAGCTACAAAGAAAACATCCTACAACCTGCCCTGCTAAAAATACAAAGAGAGCAGAATGAGCCAGAGCTCTTTTCAGTACGTGATTTACTCCCTTAGCCACATGCACGCTGCTCCTTGGGAAGGCCCAGAATGAGGAAATGTACTGCAACCCCAGTTCCAGACTTAAAAGCAAACCTCAATTTGAGATACTAATTGATTTACTCTCCAAAAACTTCAGTACAATATAATTCCAGAATTCAGGACATGCCCTTTTCACAAGTACAAAGGTGTTTCTCATGACTCCAGAAAGTAACAAAACACAGACCTTCCTAGTCTGATCTTACTGATTTTATTGATCCATTTATTCCCAAGAGAGATTCCCATCTTATTTTCCAATTATCAATTTTTTCATAAATATTTCCACAAACAGGCACCACTTTCCTCTGTGCCCCTCTTTTTTCCTCTCACTATAATACACAGCCTTCAGTTATTGCTCTCATTTCATTCTCTTCACACTTTTTTACACTCGTGAAGTGAGCAAACTGACCTGGTTTATCTACATGGCCACAGGAAGTCAGCCACAAACATGAGACAACACAGAGGTTTGATTTTGAAAGTCATTACAAAAAAAGCAGATTCCCTGTTTCTGCAGCCCAAAGATCTGCTCCCAACGCTTCTTACAGCAATTCAATCCATCTGACACCCAAGAACTCTATGATCACATCACACAACTGGCCTCTATGCTGAATGGTTTGACGACAATACTGCACTCACAGGATCAATTTCTATAGATTTGGGGTTAGTTGTAAAAGTCTGATGAATTTCCCTATTTCATGGCTGCAAAGATTAACATCAAATTTTAATCAGTTATAAGCCAAAGTCATGTAGTTCACCTGAAACAATAACCCAAAGAGATTTAGACCCTCAGCTTCTGTCCCACCTCAGTCTAATCATGGCTGCCCAAACCAGTGACAAAGGCTTTCGAGGTCACAATCACCCATTTAGTACCAACACTAGTAGTTAAGCAGGGGACTTGTAGGGACCACCATGCTGAGAAACGATTCCTGCAAGCTGAAGTCCCACAGAAAGCCAGATGACCCTGCTAAGACATTTATAATTTGAGTGAATGGCTTGAGCTAGGTCAGATGGGAAAGGGATTAACATCTAGGTTTCAATTTCCATGGTGATTAGAAGACAGAGCTTGTCTGAGGAGCTGTTTGGACCATTAATGCTCATTTTTAGTATCCTTTGGAAAACACAGGCTATCTGAGAGGGCAGAGGGAAACAATAACAGGTTGTTGTAGTTTTTTTTTTAAACCTGGCAACTTGAGTAGCTATAATCTTGTCTGTGTGACACTGATCTCAAAGCAACAGAATAGCCAATACAAGACTCTGGCTAGAACAAAACGGAGAGGATAATATAACATTAATGACACAAGTTTTCAGAAAATATATTCTTGCACTAGCATGATCTTTAATTGAAAGTTTATTGCTAATTAATAGCACAGATATAGCAGGTTTTTGTAAGGCAGTTGACTTGATGCAAAATGACATTTGATTAAGAAACTCAAAATCAACATGACACATCAAGTGGGCTAGAGACTGATAGGCCCCAGAACATAATTGCAGATGAGGCCAAACACTAAATAAATGTTTCCAGCTTATATCAATTAAATATCAACACAAAAGAGAACCGTTTCTTTCATCCCACCCTCAAGAGATGACCTTATGTTATGCAGCAGTTTTCTCTGTGCTCTGGAAAAAAGCACAAGATGATTACTGAACAAATTTACAGATTAGAGTCATGAAAACAAGGATCAGTGGTAGAAAGCCATTTAGTTTGCCAGGTAAAGAAGAGCAGAGCAAAGATCACTGTTTTTAATATAGCTAAATGTAAGAAAACATGCCTAAGCCCTACTTCCAGGCTGGCAGCCTCTCTTGAAAGCAGGTAATCTGAAAGGTCACTGTAGAAAAACATTTGTAGGGAGCTTCAGGGAGATACTGTGGGTAAATAGGACCATGGAGATAATTTTGCTTTCAAATTTCCTCCAAAGCTAAAACTACACAAGTGAGGCTTTGGAAAACAGTTGACAGCAGCTGGTGACAGAAACTCATGCATTAGAAGAGCAAAACCAACCCCTCCCCTAGGAAGCTGCCAAAAGTTTGATTGAAACAGAGGTAGGAAGCATTTGGGCATCTCATGCGTTCCTTGAAGGTCAAATTGGACAAAACTCAGGTATATGAGAGACAATTAGGAAGGAAATATGATGGATGGCAACTCTACTGACAGGTCTCTGAGCAACATCCTCATGTGCCAATAACAAACACTCAAGCTCTCCTGCTTCTTCCTTTCATACCTTGTCTTTGCAGATCATGCAGAACATTAATATTTCCTTTTCCTGAAGGAACTCTCATATCTTGAAAAGCTAAACTTAAAGGGAGCTACTCACACCTGGTGCAACTAAACGTTTTGCTTTCTTCAGCAATGAAATCCCACTGCTACGTGTCACAGCTTTTTTCTGAGGTGTAGAAATGCCAGGTAATGCTGTGATCTCACTCACCTGTTACAAAACCTTGTAGCAAGCACTCTGAGATCCCCCCCAGCCACTGAGAGTCCCACAACAGGACATGACACATACCAAGTGCACCCAGAACATCTGCTGCTTTGTTCTGGTCCCGAACGCATAGAAAGGAGAGGAAGAAAATGAAAAAAAACCAGCAAAACAATTTATTCTGGATCTCTTTACATCAAAACACCTTGATGCTCCTTCAGGTAGTCCCTCCCCCTTTATATAAAGTTGTATTTAGATTACCACACACAGCTGAACAACTCAAAGCCTGAAACATAAAAGCTCAAGGAATGTAAGAAGTGCATGAGGACACGTAAGGAGTAGGACAGAGCTGAGGAATTACAGCCCTCCTTCCTGATTCCCAGCCCAGGGTTCTTGGGTTCCCACCTGAGAGCACCTGTCAGCCACAGCCGTGTGGAACAGCCCAGCTGTGATTCTGGTCACGACCGAGCCAGGTACGACATCTCTTCAGCAGCTGTGATTAATCAAGAGCACAAACACAAGCTCTTTTAACCACACTAAGGGGAGATTTCTGCCACAAGAAGTATTATACCAAAAAACCAGCTTAGATACCTCCAAGCCAAGTTTATCCCAACAGAGCCCTCCTGCCCACAAACCAGGACCCAGCTGCAGTGGAGACATTTGTGGTTTCCCTACCTGCCACCTGCCTGCCTCCAGCATCAATGGACAGCTTCCAAGGGACACTCAAAAGAAAGCTGGAAGGAACGGAGAGGAATCAATGGCAAAACAAACCCGAAAAGCTTTCAAGTGTTTTGGGACTCTAGAAATGAGGGGGTTGTATTTTTAGCCTGCATACAAGCAGCTCAAGGTGCTTTTTCTTTGTCCCCATGACAGTAGGTAAGTGAATACACCTGCCTCGCCTCACTCCCTGCTGATGGTAAACACGAGGTCTTGCATTCAGGTTATAACATGGAGTTACTTCAGAGCAGCCCTGTGCCAAAATAGCACATTTCTGAGGGATGCAAAGGTATTCAATAAAAAGCTTTTAAAGGCATATTTTTAAACTTGCAGCAGGAAAGCTTTTCTGTGTCAAGACAGTAATTCTTTTAGCAGCATTGATCAAAATGTCATTCTTTTATGAGTGTACAATACCTTTTAATGGCATACAACAAGCCATTAGGGTTCTACACCTCCGTGCAGCACACAGCTTACTGGAACATCAGGAACACTGGCCAAGAGACAGCCCCTGGTTTTTATGCCTGTATAAAGGCAGAGTTTCTTTCAGTCTCCCCAGGTCTGCTACACCCAAATACATACAAGTGAAGTGACCCAAAAATTAAGCCAAACTTCTCATGCCTTCTACAAGAGTTATTTTTCCACACATTTCCCCCAAGAAATACCTCTCATAAACACAACACATATTCTGGCTTTCCAAAGTGGGATTCTATCACCAGGATCTGATCTGGCTCCTTGTTTTCCACACCAGCAATCACACTTACCCCAAATCAGCACTGACTGAGGAATCAGAGGGGAATGAATAGCACAAAATGTGTTTGATTTTCAGAAATGGGAAGAAGTGCCACCTGCCCTTTGCTAACACTGAGGCCTGGTCAGAATCCATCTACAAATCATCCAGTTCTTTTCAAGTGCTCCAGCCCTTCAAAGGGTAACAGCACTGGTGATTGCATTTGCTCTGCTTGAATGGAAGACCAGCACGGGCTTTCTGGATGCATTCAGCACTTTACAGCCTGATTTTAGTTACAAATACCAACAGGAAAGGGAATGCTTTCTGTCAACCTGCCTTCAAGGCTTTTCTCATCAAGGATAAGAGAATATTTATGGGATTTAATCATTACTGTTAATTGAGCAGTGGCAGCAGCAAAAGAGCTTTATTTTACTATCTGAAATTCTTAGGGACAATAGCAAGATCTTCTCAGCTACTTCTGAAAGTGTAAAGCCATCAGTATAAACAGATAAAACAACAATTCCAATAAAATGCAAGGTAAAACTGTAAATCAAAGACAGGAAAACTAGAAAGAGGAGACAGAAAAAAATTGGGGTTCTATAATCAAAAGCTGGAGTGAAATTAATTACAGTTAAGAAAAGTTTAAGGGGCTGCTTATCTCTTACCTGTTCAGAAAAAGCCTTGTCCCTCTGAATTCCAGTTATGAGATGCTGCAGTGAGTCTCCTCAGTCACATCTAGAATTTAAAATAAAAGTTAAGTAATATAATTTTTATAAGCATACCTAAATTCAACTCAAACAATACAGTTTATGCTCTAGAAGATGCCATTTTCTCAGTTAGAATATCACAAAACCAAGAGTGCTTACATCTCCCCTGCATTCATTTTTAAACATACAGTCAGGCACAGAGAGGTCACCCCCAAAGACCAGAGCTGTGCCACATGGTCCAACTGATAACTCAAACCAAAATTCTGACTGGTCAGAGTCAGAATTCCATAGGTATCAAGGGATGATTTCCCACTATCATATACCAGAGTTCAGAATTGCTTCTTCATGGTTGTTGCAGTCAAGAGAGTAAATACACACTCAAGCATGTGTTTGGGGATTTTTAAACAAACAGATGATTTCTAGGTTGCCTGAAGTATGACAACTAATAAAACCCGGATTTTGTAATAGCAACTAATTTCTTGTTGACCTCCACTAAGTTCTGTGCAATAAACATTGTGGCAGCATAGGAGAGCTGTTCCTGTCTTTCTTTTTCCCCTGGAGCTTGATTCAGTAAAAGCAATTCCCTGTTTCTCTCTCATCAGTGATGTAGAAATAAACTAAGGTTTTGAACTAAGGAGGGCGAACAGAACCAACATAAACAGGAACTCGACACACTGAGCACTTCAGCTTCTATCAGCTCGATGTTTCACTTCAAATCTCCATCCCTGAAGGCTTTTAATAGCAGGTTTGTCAGAAACTACATAGATGCCTTTCACCTCCCTTTTCAGCAAGGAATCAGACCAGATAATGTTTCCCAATGTTTTTGCAGCACAGTCTGCCTAGAGAAAGTTTTGCACCCAGGTGTTAAACCCAGTGACCACTGTGAGGAGTGGCCTGCCGAGCTTTGCCTCTCAGCCCAACACTCTTCCCTACAAAGAGTTCAGGGAACTGCTTGGACATATGGCGTCCTCCCGAGCACTAACCTGGTCCGCAGTTTGGCAGGTGCCAGGTGTTTCCAGGACACTGAAACGCGGAGCCTCTCCCAGTCACTTCTATCACTTCTCCCGGAACGGCAGCGGAGAGGCCGGTGGGAGAGGGCGGCACGGGAGGAGAGCTCTGCCTCCCCCCGCCCTCCCGGGACAGGGGGATGCCGAGGGCAGCGGGAGGAGCTCAGCTCGCTCGCCCCAGCGCGGGGGTCTCCCCGGAGCCAGCAGGAGCGGAAGCGACCGGAGAGCCCGAGCCCGGCGCCGCCCGCTATTCGAACGCACCCGCCAGCCCGTCCGCCCGCCCAGCCCCGTATTGACAGTGCCCTCGTCCAATCATGAGCGGGACATACTAAGCCCCGCCCCGAAATGGACCAATCAACACTCGCCAAGGGAGGGGGTGGGGCCGCCCGCGCACGCGGAAGGCCTCACGAGCCCCCTGATCTCCGAAGCTGTTGATGGACGTAAGAATGATCCAATAGAAGCTCAGCCTCCCGCCCATGCTCGGCGGCGATTGGCCATCCCGCCCAGCGCGGGGGAGGCGCGTTGCCATGGGAACGGGCGAGCGCCGCTGGGCGGGCAGGGACCTCCTGGGCCCCGCGCCAGCCCCGGCCCGGCCCGCTCGGCACCTCCGGACCCAGCAGCGCTGCTGCGGCCGGCCAACCCCGCAGAGAAGCCACTCAGTGATTACACACTGGTTTGGGGGGCTCAGGTCGAATATCACTGTCCTGCGCTGTCCCTCGGCGCAGCCCCAGGCCCTGCTGCCATCGCCTCGCCAGCATTCCCGTCACAGCTGTAACCCCGTCAAAGCCACCGAGGCTGGATTCTGATCTAAAGGAGTTGATGCTGCCTCTGAGCCACACACACAGACCTGATTTGAGACAGGGGAAGCCTCCAAACCCAGGAGATGCTGGAGATGGCTCGCTCTCCCATGTAAAGGAAGCAGCCAGTTTGGGAAATGGAAAGGTTGTTGAAAGAGGTGTCATTAGCACAGCTAAAGCATAATCCAAGCTTTGGAGCTGGGAAACCTGCATGACTCATACATCTGTTCGTGAGAGAATATAGAAACCAAATTGCTGTAGGCAAAAAAAAAAAAAAAAAAAAAAAAATTACATATGCAAAGACAAATGGTAAATCATAGGAGCAAGGAACTTCCTGGCTGCCCTGACACTTGATGGAGAAGCAGGGAGGGAATGGAGCTCACTGAAACCATAAAGATGTAAATGACAGGGAGCTGCCGTTTCTCACAGCCCTCGCTCATTGTTGGCAGGATGGAGTTCAGCTTGTCCAGGCTCTGCTCACAGTGACAGACCTGGGAAACAGTGTGAGGCAAAGCTCCAGGCTGTGATCTCCAGGAGGAAAACAGCACTGGAAATTCACTTCTCCCTTCTTAGAACTGGAGTGTGACTACAGAGCGAGAGAATGCTTGGAACTTTGTCTGCTGTTTGGAGAGGATTGAAGTAAAACAAATATTTTTGTAATAAAAATTTAATATCCTTTTTTTGGGCTTTGTAATCAAAGCAGCTTTCTAAGCTATGCGCGCATGGACAGTAATCCTCTGTTAATCTTGCTCGCCTCAGGCATACGAGATGCTTAGGAAATAACAAAGCAGTGCCTACTACAGGAGAAACTTCTAATTTGTTTTTGTCTAGCTCAGCATAAGTCCAAGCCCCAGGTGCAATGGACCATCACATGAAAAAATGTAACAGAGCTCAAACGTAAAATACTCTCACAGCCATGTACGTCGATTAAATACCAGATGGCATGGATGGGGTAACTGTGGGATGGTGTTGGAGATGGAAGTCCAGTTCCAGATTCTTTTTCCAGAACAGGGTATCACTTAAATGTGTGAAATTCAGGGAGATAGCAAGAGAGCCAGGGTTTTGTGGGGGGCAGAGCCCAGTTATGGTCACTGCTGGCCACATTACAACCATATTTCCTCAGAATTTCCACTGCAACTCTTTCCCCATCTCTCATAACTTTGTAAAAATTTTCTAACCAGAAACTTTTCTATCTTGAAAAATATATTTAGAACTTTTTTATCGTAGTATTCCTTCATCTGAAATCCACACAGGTCAAAAACTTGAAATTAGGAGCAGCAGTGATCCACACCAACATGTGACTTTATGTAATTTGGCTTTGATTTACCACTCATAGGAGTATGAATTTAGGACTGTTTTTACTGAGCTTACAGTCGAGGATATCTGCTGCTGGTTGATGTAGCTGATGCCTTCATTGGGAAGATCCCTTGTTTTCACTTTCAAGGTCACATGAATTCCTCCAGTCTGCAGGAATGCATGCCAGGTGTGCCTTGCTCCACTGTGCTGGTGTCAAAGCCCTGGTGTCCAAGCAGAGGTGTGAAGGACCCCGCAGAGGCCAACTCTGAGCTTATTTTATTATGGCTAATAGACTAAGACCCATCCTAGTCTGGAATCAAGCCAAGGCCTGAAACTGAAATTGCTTCCTTGTAAGTTGATTTGCTCCAGTCAGTGAATTGAGGGAAGAGTTCCCTTCCCATCCTGCTAGACCTGCCGTCTTGGCAATGTTAATAGAATAGACCCCAACCAAGGACACGTGGCAGGATGCCAGGACAATGCATCAAAATGATTTTTCCTGGAGAGTCATCCAGCAGATTGTCAGCAGGAGCTGAGCCTCCACCAGCCTGCCAGGGACTCATCTGGAAGAGCCCTGCAGAACCACAGTGAGCTGCCAGATAGACGTGTGAGCCAGAAGCATAAACCCACGTGCCTGCAGCCATCAGTGACACACAGTGCTGGCTCTGTGCCATGAGGTGCATCACTCACTGACACAGTGTCCCCTCAGCAGGCACAACGATCCTGCAGGTGTGGAGACCAGCTGGTCCAACCTCAAGCAGGGCAGAGGTGGTGCTGACAGGCCTCGAGAGGCACTCTAAGCCCTGCCCATCACTTCTCTGTCAGCCAAGGTGGGAGGCAGAACCTCTTTGTACAGCCCCAGGGCTGTATCCAAGGCATGTGCTGGGAACTCTTGTTAAACCTGAGCCCGCCAAGAGCAGCTCAAGCAGCAAAGCTCCCCCTGCTCCAGAGCCTCTCCTGCTGTGGCACGGCTGAGCCCAGTGGCCAGGCTGAGTAGCCACAGTGGCATCTGAGGCCAGGAGAGCAGGGAGGAAGGAAAGAGAACTCCTGAGAGTGCTGGAGGAGTTGGAGAGAAAACTCTGGAGCTGGCTGCTCCCTTGTGCACACTCCGTGAGCCTTCACTCCCAACTAAAGAGTTCTGGGTACACAAACTTGCTGATGTTATTAATCCAGCTGTGGGAATGTGCCTAGATGTGCTGGAGCTGAGCAGTCCCTTAAGAGGTTACATTTGTGGCACCCGTGCTCACAGCTGTGATAGCTTAGAATCACAGAATTATTGAGGTTGAAAAAGACCTTTAAGGTCACCAAGTCCAACTGTCAGTCCAGCACCACCACCGTGTTCAGCACTAAACCAAGTCCCCAAGTGCCACATCCATATGTTTTTCGAGCACTTCCATGGATGGTGATTCTACAGCTTCCCAGGGCAGACTGTGCCAGAGCTTTACATGCCTTTCTGTGAAAAAGAACTCTCTAATATCCAAGTGAACCTCCCTTGACTCAACTTGAGGCTATTTCCTCTTGCCCTGTCGCTTGTTAGCTGGGAGAAGAGACTAACCCCCACCTGGCTCCAACCTTCTGTCAGGTAATTGAAGAGAGCAAGAAGGTGCCCCCTCCAGTGCTCCTGCATTTGGGGTGAGATTAAAATTGCAATGTCAACTGTTAAAATATTAAAATGATGTTTTCATTTTCCTTCTGCTTCCTGTGGAGCGATGGCACGCGGGAAGAAATTTTGCTGTGATTCCTCTGAGGTGCGAGACAGTTACTGATTACTGGAGAAGATGAGATACAGTCCTGTGATTCCCTGAATATCTGCTAAGCCTCAGGACAGTTTGTGTATGTTGGAGCCCCTCCTCCACAAAGAAAAGATAAACAGAGTGAAAGACAGCGCTGGAGCAAGCAGCAGCTCTGGATAGTCACTGGTCGCAGAGTTAATCCAGAACCTGGTAAATAAAGCTGCAGACAGTTAATTAATTAGAGGAATAAAGCCCAGAAATAATATTTTGCAGTAGGATTAGTTCATCTAGAGGGTACCTGGTGAACTCATAGGATGTGTGGGGAGAGAGGTAAAGAAGACACTAAATTGCCTTCAGCTCTTTAAATCATTTCTGCAGATCCTATTACAGAAGAGAAAGGGAAATGGCTGCAGAACAAATCATGAGAGTTCCTGTTTCCAGTGGTCTGACAACCCCTCTAAAAGAGAGAGAGAAAACGCCTGTGTGCACTGGAAGCAATAAAAGACACATTTGTTCCCCATTCATCACCGCGTCATCCTCGGGCGCGCGCAGACACTGCCGAGCCCACTGGGGCGGGGGATTAGCACAGCCCCTGGCTCCGGAGCGTCTGCCCCGCTGCTCCCTGCGGCTATTTTTGGAGTCAGCCCTGCCTCTGCCCCAGCCTGGTGGGACGGACAGGATAGTGTCTGGTAGGCACAGAGCAGGGGAGGAGGCATGGACCATGGTGTGGTCTGCCAGGGCCTCTCTGATCCTAAACCCAGGCACCACAACTACCCTGCTTGGGCACAAAAAAGGGAAGTCCCAAAGCACAGAATGCTCTCATCATCTCTCTGAAGGAGGAGCGGTGGCAGTTCAGGTGCACTCACCCAGGAGAGCTGCTGTGTGTGAGCTGACACAGTAACGAAGAGAAGGAATCACAGAGTCATAGAAGCACAGAATGTGCTGAGTTGAAGGGACCCATCAGGATCCCTGAGCCCAACTCCTGGCCCTGTGCAGAACACCTCCAGAATCACATCAAGCACCTGAGAGTGTTGTCCAAACGCTTACTGAGCTCTGTTAGCCTTGGTGCTGTGACACCTTCCCTGAGGAGTCTGGTTCAGTGCCCAACCACTTTCTGAGTGAAGAACCTTTTTCGAATATTCAACGTAACCCTACCCTGCCACAGCTCCATCTGTTCCCTCGTGTCCTGTCATTGGTCACAGAGAGTGAGATCAGTGCCTGCTCCTCCCCAGGGTCAACTAGGAATTGACCATTCTCACAGTCATGGCCCTCCAGTGCAGGGCACTGAGACCCCCTTGATCCATCATCTGTGTTGAAGACAGAGGCAAAAAAAGCACTGAACACCTCTGCCTTGTCTCTGTCCCTGTTTGTGAGATGACCAGCCTCATCCTGTAATGGGCTGATATTATTTCTACACTGCTTATTGCCATTAACGTATTTGAAAAAAAATCTTTTTATTCTCCCCCATATTTCTGGCGGCTTTGGCCACACAAATTTTCTCCCTACAGTGAGCAGCATCTTGGTATTCTTCTCTTGCCTTGTGACCTTGCTTCCACTGGGCATACACCTTCCTTTTTCACCTTATTTCCAAGAGAAGATCCCTGCTCAGCCAAGTCAGCCTTTGCCTTACCTGCCTGACTTCTGACATTTGGTAATTGCTGCTCCTGTGCCCTTAGGAGGTGATGTTTAAAAAGTAGTAGGAGAAACCGAAGGTTTCACACAAGCTCCTCAGAAGTGATTGCTCCAGCAATAGAGGCAAGTTTGGAGATCGGCCCCATTTCTTCAAGTCCCCACATTGCCAGCCACAATTGTTGAGTATTTCCAGGTGCTGCCAGGGCCTTCCCATAAATTGGTTTATGGGGTTAATTTACAGCACCTGGGAATTTTGTTATTTCTCAATGTCATGTCCTGCTTCACAGGACACTGATGCTCCTGTCTCCTTCCTGCTGTGGTCTCTTCAGTCCTCGGCAGTTGAACTGTATGTCCAGTGCAATAGACAAAGTGATCCACCTTCACCTGCAGTGCTCACACACACTCACACCATCGCCTTTGGAAAATAATTACAGCGTGGAGGCCGATCCTGTTAGATTAAGACAAATTAAGAATCTAATATATAGGTTTGCTGTCAGGCTCCCGGGGTCAGGGGTCGATACAGTATATTGCAGGGAGGCTATAGGTTACCCCTGCCCCAATATTTTATCATAATAAACCAAATGGGGATGAAACACCCAAGCAGCAGCCCATAAATCTATTAGCAGTGAACTGTCAATGTCCCACATACCCGGGTAATTTGTTAATTCAGAGCTGGGGCTCTTTTTTCACTAGACCTTGTAAACTCCTTTCTGAAACATCAATAAACCATCTGCTTTGACTTGTTAATCAAACGACTTTATTCAGTCCAAAGCAATTTTTTCCTAATAAAAACAGAGTATTTATCTCCATGGCTATAAAAGAGGATTGTTTTCAACTGTTCACTTATAGTTAAGAAGCACATTTAGTTTGGATTGATTTCCAATGCTTCGGTCATATCTTGTCACTTCCCATTTCTTACACACAGCATCTCAGTTTAGCTCCTTAGCAGGGAAAACACAACCTGCCCCAGTCAGTGCTGGGAGTGGCACCGGGGGAGCAGCAGCCAGCAGTAAAAAGGTCAT